AAGCCAGTTCACGCTAGCTGACTTTAGCTTCATTTGTGTAATCTTGGTTGATATGTGTTTGCGCCAAGTTAGTCTCCTATCCAAGTGTATTCCTAGATATGCCTCATTGGCTTGTGGAATATGGACATTATTTAATTTGATTGGGGGGCATACTTTCGGTCTGAGTGAAAATGTTGTATGTTTACTCTTCTGTTCGTTGACTTTTATGCGCCAGTTTGCCAGCCATTCTTCTATGCGTAGTAAATGTTCCTCTAGTACTCTTGAAGCCCTGTTGGTACATTTATTACGACTTACTAAGGCGGTATCATCAGCGAAGGTGGATGTGAGTATATTCTTGCTAGTTGGAATATCTGAAGTGTAGATGATATACAGCATAGGCCCGAGTACACTACCTTGAGGAACGTCAGCCGTTATCGACATGCCTTCTGAGGTGAAATTAGATAATTTTAACAGCAAATGTTCTGTTAGTTATGTATGATTCAAATATTTTGTGGAATTCCGGCGGCAACAATTTTTTAATTAAACTTTGTACTCTCTGAGCTCAAATGCCCTTCTGATTTCATTTGTAATTCGATTAACTTGTTCAATTGTACCATGATTTTCTCGGAAGCCAAATTGGTGTGCTGGTATTAAATTGCGTTAATGGAGAAAGGGAGATATCTTTGATAGGAGTACTTTTTCGAATACTTTGGAAAGACAGGGCAGTAAGCTTATTGGTCTGTATGAGGACGGCTATGTTGCGTCTTCCCCAGGTTTGGCTATCATGATTATCTTCGACCTTTTCCATGATTTCAGAAAGTAACCGAATTTGAGGATAGCGTTGAAAAGGTCAGAACAAGTGCAACATTCGGTAGCTCTATTAGCATTTTCGGAGTTATAAAATCAGCACCCGGCGATTTCTTTGGATAAAGCTGCTTTACTATAGCTTTTACTTCTAAAGAGTTCGTCTTGTTAGGTGTGTATAGCTCATTTGTATTTTTGGTTAGCCGTGGCAGCCTGAAGTTGTTCGTTGGACAGTTTGGATGAAACACATTCTTTAAATGGTGTGAAAAACACTCGACTCTCTGCTGCTCACTACGAGCCCAGGTTCCACATTGGTTCCTAATTGGCATTTCTGTAGCCACTGGTGGTTTGAAGTATTTTAGCGATTTCCATAGAGAGTATCTTTCAGTAGAACTCGGGGAAAGCTTCTTAATGTACCTTTGCAAGTTGCAATCCTCTGCACGTTTGAGTGCTTGTTTCAGTTTTCTACTGGCAGCTTTATACAGTAGCTGTGAGGTTGGTGAGCGATGGCTCTGCCACTGTCTTCTTAGGCGCCGCTTTTCTGCCACAAGTGTTTCTATTTCCGTATTTGTAACTGATGTATGCGTAGGTGGTACGTGGACTTGATTTGGTGTTGCCAGGCCAGCGGCTGAAGTAAATGTTTCTTTAAACTGTTCAACAAGGGAGTCTATATCACGCTCGCAGTTAAGTGCAGCGTTTAATTTAAGGTGACTACAGATGTACTTTTTATATTTAAGCCAGTTGGTGTTATTTGAAGTTAGACGAGGCTCTATTTCGATTTTTTGGGTCTGTTCATATAGTTTTATTAATATAGGGGAGTGATCGGATGA